TCTTAGGGTAAAATAAATATATTATTCATAATATAAAAACATAGATGGATCATGGATGATTGACTATGCATAAATAAATAAGAAAGCAACTATTAACATTAAGAAAGCAATTAATAACCTAGTAAGTTTATCATTTATCTTTATTAATTATGAAGTAGATGAATTAAAAATTTAAGATTTTCAAGAAATTTTACTTTTTCAAAGTAATTAATTAAGAGTATAATAGGTAAAAGTATTTTGTCTTTCTTGATTTGTCAAAATGAACAAATAACTAAGAATAACTAAAAAAGGAAAAGTGAACAAGTAATTAAGGGATAATGGGAGTAATATCCACGGTTCATGATTGAGATTATAAATGATTTTCACAAGCATGTCTAAAAAAATCTATCTTTATATATTTTTTTAAAATATTTTTTATTCTATACTTGACAAAATTTGTATACTCATTTAAATGTCATTACCTTGAACCTTACATTTTTTTAAAGGCAACTTACATAAATTCCATAGTTTTAATATGAAATTACAATTTATCCCTTATTAGTTTGTAATTACATTTATCTCTTAAAAAGTAACACAAATCGAATACATAATATGTAGCTCGGATACATTAGATACTGGTTCAGATACATTAATACGTAGCTCGGATACATAATATGTAGCTCGGATACATTAAATACTAGCTCGGATATATTAATATGTAGCTTGGATACATTAAAAACTAGCTCGGATACATAATATATAGCTCGGATACATTAATATGTAGCTCGAATACATTAAAGAAATAAGGGATTTTAGTGTTTTTTAGAAATAGAAGGGGATAATGGAAATAAGGAAAACATAAGACGTGTATTTCAATAATTTTCCCTTTTTTTATGCGTGTATAGGAAGCCATTTATTTGAGATTTGTTACTTATTTTCTAAAATGCTATTTATTTTATTTAGCAAAAATGCTAATGATTAATTACATGTGTAACTAAAGAAATTTTTTTTTTTGAAGTTCACCTGTGTGTTTACACATGAATGAATGAGGAAAATTAACAAACAAATTTAGGATAAAAATTGTAAAAAGAAGATCTATTCTTTATTGCTTGGAATTTAATATTTTTTTAACCAACATTACCAAATCCTACGTTTAAAAAATAAATAAAAAATATTAGGAAGACATATAGTCAAGATTTGTTACTAAATTAAATTATAGTCATTTTGTTTGACTACACATCTCTTCTAAAGTGTTGTATATTTACACAAAATAAAATAAAAAAAGTTTGTTGGAATTACCGCATCTTACATTTAATTTATAATTTATGTATAATAGAAAGATATTTATTTTCAATTTTTTTTACTAAATTCCTAAAATTATAGGAGAATAATTTTATTTATATAAAAATAAATCCACTTTATGATAGAAGTGTAATTAAAAAAAAGTTTTGAAGTTTACCTATTTTTACACGTGATTGAATAAGAAAAAAAAACAAATTTATGATCAAACTTGAAAAAAAGAGAGTAATTAATTTGAACTGCTAAAAATTTAATATTTTTTCCAAAAATAAATTACCTAATCATTCACTATTTTTCTATAATAGGAAGATATTTATCTGTGATTTCTTACCAATAGTCAGTTTGTTTGCTATTCGTATTTCCTAAATCTTGCACTCATATTTCACAAAGAAAGACCATTTTATGAATATTTGTAAATAATTTTATTTTTTTTGAAATTCAACTTCCCTTTATATATAAACAATAAAAAATTAAAATAAAATTAAGGATTAGCCTTGAAAAAAGAAGATTTTATTTTACTGTCCAAATTTAACACAAATATTTTTTTGATAACTTACCAAATCTTATATATATTTTTTCAGTATAGAAGGGCATTTAGTTGGATTTTGTTACTAAATTGTATTATGGTCATTTTCTTGACAATACGTGTTTCCTGGAGTGCTGAATATTTTTAAAAAAATATTGTTTAGAACTTCTATTTTTTAATTAAATTGCCGAGTCTTACATTTATTTTATGTATTAGGAGGATATCTATTCAAAATTTTATGTATTGTTTAGAACGTATATTTCACAATATTTAACTTTTTTTCACTTTATCCCATATGTATAATTAAAATAAAATTTTAAAGTTCAATCTTCTTTGACATGTAAATGAATAAGAAAAAAATTATATACAATTAAACGGCTAGGGTTGAAAAAATATATGTAATTCATACTTGGACAACATTTTTATCAATTTGTTTAATTGCCAATTCATACTTGTTATAGAATGCAGCATATGTTGATCTCAAAAAAATAATACTCCTATGTTAGTAGCAACAAATTAAAATTCTTGATTTTTGTCATCATAGAAAGTTAAAAACTAAAAGACTGAATATTTTGGAAGCTAACTGAACTTGATACTATCTTTTATTTAGTGTCTGTTTGGATTGATTTAAAAGTTGATCAAATTTTCTTTTAAGTCATTTTTAGTTTTTGAGAGTATTTAACAAAGTTAAAAATAACTTAAAATAAGTTTAATATGACTTTAAAAAAGTTTAAAAACCAAAAGTAGGTCTACCCCCTACTTTATATTTTTTTATTAAAAGTAATTTAAGTTTGAGTTTTCATTTTTCGACTTAAAAACTATTTTTTTAAGCCAATCCAAATGGGCTCTTAGACACTCCAATTAAAATTCATACTATTTAAGCACATATAATAGGGTTCGGCTATGTCAATTATTTATTTTTGTGAGAAGGAAAATTCGCCGCTGGTACCTTTTGGGTGCACATGGGGTAAAACCCTTGATTCTATGCAATAACCCGTAAAATACATCGGAGAGATAAACCTCACTAGGAAAGTTCGATGCAGACGAGCTCGACCCAGAAGGAAAATCTCTTGCTTTCAATGGGCAAGAGACTTCGAAGTTGAGATCTACAACATGGAAGTCTCAAGCCCAAACGACTGGACAACTTCGAAGGGTATACTTATTCGACTATGTCATTCTTCTTCTTCTGTTTGTTCTTCTTCTCTCGTTGATTTCTTATATTCAATTTGTTATATTGTTTTGTTATAGGTTCAATCTTATAACTATTTTTTCATTATTATTTGTTGTGTTTTTGTAATTTTGATGTTCAGTATTGTAGATTATTTTGAATTGTATTTTTTTTAGCCGAGAATATACCAGAAATAATTTCGGTATTTTTGAGGTAGGGTTCATAATACTTTTAAAATTTTAATTTATTTTCTTTTGTAACATTTCTTTATTTAATTCGTCATTTTGATGTGTGACTGCCAAGTGTACTACACACTCTTTGCACATTTATTCGCGTAAACAAAAAACGTTAAAATGACATAACCGGATCCTAATACATGTTTCAATCTTATAACTATTTTTTCATTCTTATTTGTTGTGTTTTTGTAATTTTGATGTTCATTATTGTAGATTATTTTGAACTGTCTTTTTTTTAGCCGAGAATATACCAGAAATAATTTCGATATTTTTGATGTAGGGTTCATAATACTTTTTAAAATTTTATTTTAATTTTTGATTTTTTTTCTTTTATAACGCGTCTTCATTTAATTCGTCATTTTGACGCGTCACTGCCAAGTGTGCTACACACTTTTTGCACGTTTATTCACGTCAACAGAAAACATTAAAATGACATAACCGAATCAATCTTATAACTACTTTTTTTTTATTTGTTGTGTTTTTGTAATTTTGATGTTCATTATTGTATATTATTTTTGAACTGTATTTTTTAGTCGAGAATATACGAAAAATAATTTCAATATTTTTGAGGTAGGGTTCATAATACTTTTAAAAATATAATTTAATTTTTGATATTTTTTTCTTTTGTAACGCGTCTTCATTTAATTCGTCATTTTGACGTGTCATTGCCAAGTGTGCTACACACTCATTGCACGTTTATTCGCGTGAACAAAAAACCATTAAAATGGCATAACCGGATCCTAATACATGTTTTAAACTTATAACTATTTTTTTCATTATTATTTGTTGTGTTTTTGTAATTTTGATGTGTAGATTATTTTGAACTGTATTTTTTTTAGCCGAGAGTATATCAGAAATAATTTTGATATTTTTGAGGTATGGTTCATAATACTTTTAAAAATTTAATTTAATTTTTTGTTCTTTTTCTTTTGTAACGCCTCTTCATTTAATTCGTCATTTTGACGTGTCACTGCCAAGTGTGCTACACACTCTTTGCACGTTTATTCGCGTCAATACAAAACTTTAATATGACATAACCGGATTCTAATAATGTTTCAACCACGTGTCTTCATTTGATTCGCTATTTGGCGTGTCATGAGACTTGCATATTTGGTCGAGTTGGTGAAGAGTGGTAAAGTTACACAATTTGATTCTAATATAGGTGTTTAAATGGTAAAAATCCTAGTAGATGCGTTTAGTGAAAAATATTGCCAACTTTAGATGTTTTCAAATCGATTCAACCAACCTAAATTTTTAAGGAATCATTTGGTACAGTGAATGAGATATACATAGTTATCCCATCATTTATATGAAATAATTTGTCTCATCGCCATGACTTTTTTTTCACTTTTTTTGATATTTTAGTTTTTAAAAATATTTTTGACCATAAATTTGAAAGTCAACTTCAAATTAAATTTTAAAATTTCAATATTTTGAAAAATAATAAAAATATGTTTTCATTCCAAATAACTCACGATAAAATAAAATAAAATAAAATAAAAACTCCAATTTATAATTCATTGCCAAACACAACTTGTCATATATAACTTTTTTTTTCCTTTTCAAATTTCATTTTTATAAGTAATAAAAATAACCAAAAAGGACATTTATTATATTTTCCCACAAAATTATTATCGGTTTATGATCTTTGTGATAAAAGAAAGAAAAAGGAATTTACTGCGTGTACTTGAAAATAATTAACGTTTTAATTGAGGACTTGAGGGTAAATATTCCCCTCATTTCCCCCCTATATAAGAGAGTGTCTTCCCCACTTCTTCCGCTGTCACTTTTTCATCACTCTCAAATTCAACTTCTCTTCTTCATATTACTCTTTTTCTCTCTCTCGTTAACAATGTCGGAACGTGGACGAGGACGTCGCGGTGGTTCTCCTTATGGTGGTGGCAGAGGCGGTGGAAGAACACCTCCTTGTGGTGGCGGCAGAGGCGATGGTCGAACACCTCCTTATGGTGGCGGCAGAGGCGGTGGTCGAACACCTCCTTCCGATGGTCGTGGCAGAGGATATCCGTCTCCCGGTGGTCGTGGTCGAGGAACTTACTCCAGTGGCGGATCATCGAGTTACAGTGCTTCTCCTAGTTACAATGCTCCTCCGAGTTACAATCCTCCTCCGATATATCATCATCAACAACCGTCAATGGCGGTTTCATCGATGACTCGGGAGGTTGAACAAAAGCTTTCGCTTCAACCTTCCACATCTGCAAATCCTTCTGCTGGGCCTCAGCCCGTGCAACAGTCGTCACCGCCTGTTGCTACCATCCCTGCGCATCTAGCGGGACCGTCGACTTCGACGCAGCCGCCAAGGCCGCCACCGGTATCATCTAAAAACATGCGGCCTCCTCCTAGACCGGATTACGGAACCATGGGGCGAAGGTGCCTAGTTAAGGCGAATCACTTTCTCGTTCAGGTTGCTGATCGAGATGTACATCACTATGATGTAAGTACCATTTGATGTATTACTTGATTTTTAATTTTTTTTTGTTGTGCGTGTTCTCCCTCTATTATATACACATTTGGTGTGTTGTATAGGCGTCTCTGTCATTCTTACTCTCTCTGTAAGTGCTTATACATATCCTTATATATATGTGCGCGCGCATATGTGATACACCTGAATCATCTGTATATACATATATTTGTATATGTACATCTCTTTTTCTTTTACATATATATGTAGATGTATACACATTATATACTGGAATTATCTGAATAAATGTAACGCATACTTATATATACATATAGGTGTAATGTTTATTTTAGTACTACTTCTATTCAAAATAAATGAAGTTTTGGCACATTTTTATAATCCAGAAATGTATGAATATTTAGTATAATATTACCCTTCTCTTTAATGGATTATTCAACAATATCTAGTTTTAAGAAATGTAATATAACACGTTACCCTCCAAAAAAATTATTTTTAATTTCTATCCTATCTGGAAGTTAAATTTTAAAATTTTAGTTCGGTTTTAAACAATGCTGTTTTGTTTTTTAAAAAATAATATTAATATTAATTTTTTTAGATGTGTGTAATGATGGATCACAGCTATAGTTTGCTACAGTAATGGTTAAGTTGTCGTTTATTAATTTTTAATCTTCAGGTTACAATCACTCCTGAGGTTCTGTCAAAGAAAGTGTGCCGACTGATAATCAAACAGCTGGTTGAGAGCTATAAACTTTCACACTTGGGTGGACGGGGTTTGGCATATGATGGTCGAAAGAGTGCTTACACTGCTGGTGCGCTCCCATTCGCCTCCAAGGAATTTGTTATCATGTTTGCTGATGATAATGGTGTAGCAAGGTAAGTTTGCTATTAGTGTTTGCATATTTCCAAGCACAACAATTCGTATTTTTGTAATTTGCTCAAGCCCATGGGAATACTTTCAGTTTCAAGCTCAGTAGAATTCAAAAGCTTGAGCGGCGTTGATTAACCAGAGTCATGTTTTTATTTATTTATTTATATTTATGCTGTTTCCTGTATGAACTTTGTTGCACTGTTTTATTTTTTCAGGAGGGAAAGGGAGTTTAAGGTCTCCATTAAGTTTGCTGCCAAAGCTGATATTCACCATTTGAAACAGTTCTTGCGCAGTAGGCAGTCAGATGTCCCGCAAGAAACAATTCAAGCTTTGGATGTGGTGCTGCGGACAAACCCATCAGTAAAGTATGTTCCTCTCTGTTCGTCTTTTTTTTTTTATTCCTTTTTCCATTTGAATGATAATTTAGACACCTCAAACTCTTACAACTGCAGGTATGAAGTAGTGGGAAGGTCGCTTTTCCACAATGAGTCTCCAGATGACACTGGCTCGCTTACTGGTGGGTTAGAATACTGGAGAGGGTATTATCAGAGTCTTCGACCAACTCAGATGGGCCTTGCTCTCAATATTGGTATGAACATGCAAGGAAATCCGGGACGGGGATTTTACATTTTGTGTTTGGTGTCTTTTTAATTTTTTTTACTTCTTTGAGACTAATCGGATTACGTTCTCTTACATGTTTCTTCTCCTGCTACTGTGCATGCAGATATGTCAGCCAGAGCGTTCTATGAGCCCATTTTTGTCTCTGATTATGTTTTGCGGCTCCTGAATCTCAGGGATGATCCTCAGGTGTGGCTGTCTGATCAGGACCATTCGAAGGTACTTGAGAAGTGCTTATTCGTAGTCTGTTGACTATGCTCTGTTTATGGTTTGCCGCAATATGAAGCCCCTGAAATATGTTGGTAAAATAATTGAAGATTTGTTGGATGATAGTGTTTGTAGATGTCCTTTGCTCAATATGCAAATGCCTTTTAGGATGTTTATTCTACTTATCTGGAAAATGTTTTAAATGTACTTTTTTTTTCAGGTTAGAAAGGTTTTGAAAGGTGTTAAGGTAGAGGCGACTCATCAAGGTAGACGCTACAGGATCACAGGGTTGACTCCTCGACCATCGATGACAATGATGTATGTTACTAGTTTGGAGCTTTGACTTATATGAGACCATTAGACTATAGCTTCATAATTTTGTTTCTGATGTTGTACTGGTTATTTTATGGGTATGCAGTTAGTTAACGCTTTTAACATTACGAAGCTTTCAAGCACACAAACATTAGCATCAACCTAATGTAATATCATAAATTCATCTGTCTATATGTTTTTGTAATGCATTCTTTTAATTTTATATTCATAGGATAGGATTGAAATAATTTTTTTTATATGGTTGTTGCCTTGTTAATTAGTTTCACTTTTCTTGCGATTGCTGTTACAATTGTATTCTTGGCTTACTTTATGTTCTTCTAGGAATGTCTAATTATTTTTGACAATCTCAAATTGATTAAGGTTTCCTGTTGATGGCACTGAAACAATGGTATCTGTTGCTGCCTACTTCCAACAGAAGTACAGCATTGTACTAACGTATCCTATGTTGCCTGCGCTTCAGTGTGGCAGCAATGCAAAGGCTGTGTATCTGCCTATGGAGGTGGCTTACTCTTACTTCCCTTCTATTTTTATTTTCACCTTTCCTATTGCTGTTATCTTTCTGCATGTACTAGTTTTCTCTTTTGATATGTTTCCTTTCAGATTTGCAGAATTGTTAGTGGACAAAGATACACAAAAATGCTAAATGGCAGGCAGGTCACAGAGATGCTGAGGGCAACCTGTCAGAGACCAAAAGAAAGGGAGGGGGGCATTAGGCAGGCAAGTAAACATCAGAGCTATAAATCATGAAAACGGTTCTTGTCGAAATTAGTTGCACATGCTTTTTACATCTTGTTTTTGATTGGATGGTTCTTTTGTATTGTAGATTGTGAAAGCCAACAATTATGCTGACGACAATTTGGTGCATGAATTTGGTATTGGAGTTGACGCACCCCTCACCACCATTGAAGCACGGGTGCTTAAAGCTCCAATGGTACCTCCCTTGACTATGCTTTGTTTGATGCATTCATTAGATCTTCAATTTTATGTGAGCTTACTATATGTGTCATTATTGGTCTTGCAGCTAATGTATCATGAGTCTGGGAAAGAATCACGAGTGGATCCCAGGGTTGGTCAATGGAATATGATTGATAAGGTATTTCAATAGTCACTTATACAGTTTTAGTAATTCTGGATTCATGTGAGACGTTGGTACCTAAAAATGATTACTTATTCCTGATACTATTCTACGGCTTTTTGTTCTTATTATTTTCAAGTCAATGGGATGCTTTTTGTTATTTCCTAAATTCACTTAATGAATCTTGAGGGTGTTTATTTTCCAGTGTCATTGAGAACTTAAATTGACAGATGCATCTCTCTCCTTTTTTGTCAAATGCTGTCATATTGAATGGTCAAACGACCCTGAACTTTTTAATCAGTGACATTATTCATTGCCAGTTTAGGTGGCTTAATCAAACTTTTTTTTTTATTATTAGAAATTGATTAATGCGGCTCATGTTAACAATTGGACGTGTGTTAGCTTCTCCTCACGGGTCCCACCAGAGAGGCTCGTCGATCGCCTGCTCCATATGTGCATTAGTAAAGGGATGGTAAGGCATATATTTCACTTTGATAATTGTGCAGTTGCACGTGCTTATCAAGTCGCATGCTCTGTCTTTGATATGTTCGGTTTTAGTCCTTCGAGAGTCCATTGGTGCCGCTCCGCCGAGCTCATCCTGAGCATATTGAGAGGACTCTTCGTGATATCCATGGAGAATCTATGCAAGCGATAGATAAGAAGAAGGGGGACCAGAAAATAAAACATCTCCAGCTGTTAATTGTTGTTCTTCCTGACGGTTCTGGACAATATGGTGAGTGATACTAGATTGTTGATTTGCTAACTACCTAAAGGAAGAACATAAAACCACAAAAATGACGTAGGTAGTTGAATGCTGATTTAATTTGGATGATATCTTGTTTTTTCAGGAATGATCAAGCGTCTGTGCGAAATAGATTTGGGAATTGTTTCCCAATGTTGCCACCCAAAGAATTTACACCCCCCATCTAATCCGTATCTTGAAAACCTCTCTCTAAAGATAAATGTCAAGGTTTGTCAGTTTAGTATTGCAAAGCTGTTAAAAGAGTTCCCCGTAAAGAGTTTCTGTCATCCTTTTTTTTGGTCTGCTCTTTTACTTCAGGTGGGTGGAAGAAACTCTGTTTTGGAGCTGGCAGTTACTAAACGAATGCCTTTCATCAGTGATACGCCCACAATTGTCTTTGGTGCTGATGTGACACATCCGCAACCGGGAGAAGATTCTAGTCCCTCTATAGCAGCTGTACTGAATATGATACTTCACTCTTATTTTGAAATTTCCTATTGAGAGCTATAAGGCTCTTCCATGCTCAACTAAAATGAACTGGTAAGTTCTCCTTTGCAGGTGGTTGCATCAATGGATTGGCCTGAAGTTACTAAATATAGGGGTATTGTTTCTGCACAGCCCCATAGGCAAGAGATCATTATGGACTTGTACACAGAGAAGGAAGATTCTAAAAAAGGGATTGTTCGCGGTGGAATGATAATGTAAAAGTCCTCAACTTTGTTCCATGCTTTGTGCCTTCAATACCCAAGTTTTTCTCATTATACAAATTCATTCTTTTTTCAGGGACCTGCTGAAAGCGTTTTTCAAAGTGACAGGATTTAAGCCTCGTAGAATAATCTTCTATAGGTCAGTTTTTGTTTTAGTTGGTCATGTTAGTGATTTTGTGCACCTTTTTTCCACATTAGCCAATCAACCCACTGTAAAATGACAGAGATGGAGTCAGCGAAGGACAATTCAATCAGGTTTTATTGGAAGAAATGGATGCAATCCGCAAGGTATACAATCCCCTGTCTATTGTCCAGTACAAGGCCTTAGTGCTTTCTGTAATTTTATTTTGCAGGATGATGTTTCTTTCATCTTATTACTTTTATGTGACTTGATGTTGTAACTGGTGTGTACTGTTAATGGAATACACATCTGAGATGGTTTCCAATTTGGTCTTTGTTACAAGCCCTAACAAACCTTTCTTTAGGCATGTGTTGCCCTGGAACATGATTATATGCCACCAGTTACCTTTGTGGTAGTGCAGAAGCGACATCATACACGTCTATTCCCTTCCAATCATGATGATCGTAGTTTGACAGACAGGAGTGGAAACATTTTGCCAGGTTTCAGTTTTTTTCTCTCCTAAATATCTAGTAGAAGCCATCCAAAAGCATATTTCTATGCGTGACAACATTGATGAATAATAAACAATGGCTGCTATTACTTTTGCAAAATAGGTACTGTGGTAGACACCAGGATATGCCACCCAACTGAGTTTGATTTTTACTTATGTAGCCACGCTGGGATCAAGGTAATTTGTTAAAATTAGTTCATTTATAGTTGTACGATCCTTCATGATCTTTCTTGTTTGTTATTCATTAGGGTACCAGTCGTCCTGCACATTACCATGTACTATATGATGAGAACAATTTCACCGCAAATGCCATTCAGAATGTAACGAACCACCTGTGCTACACGTAATGTCTCTTGAACTTTATTTATTTGGAATTATTATTTCTTTTTATTGTTTCAAGTATCGTATAATCATCATCTTTTTCATCTCACAGGTACGTAAGGTGTACACGATCAGTTTCCTTAGGTTAGTTTCGCCTGCTTGGTGGTTATGAAAATTTGTCTCTTTTACAGTTTTACTGAATTATCTTTGAGCGTCTGTTGCTCAACTTATTATGGCGTTGTTTACACAGTGCCACCTGCCTACTATGCACATCTAGCTGCCTTTCGTGCACGCTATTACATGGAGAATGACGTGGGTGTAAGAGCAGCTAATGAAGGTGGTGAGGGAGGAGCAGCAACCAGGGAACAAGCAGCTGCACAATTCAGGCCACTTCCTAACATTCATGAAAATGTGTCGGAGGTCATGTTTTACTGCTGAAAAATTCACTGATCATCGATCACTGAATTCAGTAGAAATCTTCTTTTAAATTAAGTTATAAATTAAACTATCAATCTATTTATTTTTTAAATTGATCTGTGGGCTTTACAGATCATGGTCATGCTTTTTGCAACTGCATGTTGTGTGTCGAAGTTATGGTCACAACAGACAGTAAATGTTCAATTATATTTTACTTATTTCCTTTGACCTATTTTTTTTCTGTTGGTGGCTTATATGCCTATGTGCCTTTCTATATAACAAGGAAAAAACACATTCGAAATTAGCTTTGTTCCTTTTTCGTACATTCAGTATTTTATGTAATTACTCTATCATGCTTCTTGTCCATCCACTTCACTATTATTTGCTGGACTTTCTGATACTGTTAGGGGTCGTTTGGTTTGAATATGAGTTATGATGGGATAAGTTATGTTGGGATAAGTTATGTTGGGATTAGTTATGATGGGATAAGTTGTCCTGGGATTATTTCTTATTGAGTGTTTGGTTTGTTATATTCAAAATAATATATATTGATAAATTTTAAGAACAAGTTGTTTGTTTACAAAATTACCCTTCACTTTATTTAAACTTTTTAAATTTTTCTTTGTGAGCTTTAGTTATTCATTTTTTAAAATAAAACTTTTATTTTTTTTAACTTAAATATTTTTGTTTATGTATTCCCATGATAAGTACCATGTGTATTTAAAAATATAACTTTTTTCTTATTTAGCTTAAAAATAGAACTTTCCTCTTAAGTTTATTAAAGAGAAGAAAATTTATGAGAAATCAAAATAAAATAAACATAAGAATTAGTCAAATAAATTCATAAATAAAAATTATATTTATATAGTATAATTTTTTAATAGAAAAATATGTATAATTATCATAAAAATAAGGAGTAGTAAATATTATTATACATGGTATTAAAAAAAATGTAAATATACATAAATGTAAAAAATGATATATAAAAAGGATTTAAAGGGACATATTTGTCATTTACCTATTCTATCTCGGGATAAGTTATCCCGGGATTACTATACCACCCATGGGGAGGGATAACTTATCCCGGTACTAATTATTAATCCCGGGATAAGTTATCCCGGACTTGCCAACCAAACAACATAATTTTTTTTTTATCCCATCACTATTTCCTTATCCCATCACTATTATTTCTAATCCCTCACACCAAACGAGCCCTTAGTCCTTTTACCATGTCTCACTAATCCAGTGACAGATTTGCTCCCTCTCGGCAAACTTGTCAATATAATGAGGTGTTGATGTGGCAATGCTTTTATGGAATTGACCATTGATAAATTTCCTTTCCTAGTGTTCAAATACATTTACTATTTTGTTGGGCATTCTTCTTACTTATTCCTTATTCGTCCACTGATGGATTCAATGCACTCTCTTTCAATAAAATCCACTTCCTTTAGTATTAGATAGATAGATACTGTTGGCTTGGCTTCTACTGTGTACCTAAACCTTGTCAGCATCTTTTTGTGTGATAATATGTTTTTATGCAACATTCCACTATAAAACTTCCTTTCCTAATTACATCCTAAGCAAATTCGAAGTTATGTTTTATCTTTTCTTACACGTCCAATGATGGATTTGCTGTCTCTTTCAATAAGTCTTCTTCTTCATTGTCACATTGAATATTAGTCTTGAACTGACAGGATATAATATGTGACCTACCTAATTAGCCTCCGTAGTAAAGACTATATTTGAGACTGGATGTTCATGATGCATGCCTTCATTTATTAGCACTTGCATCAGTTTTTGTAAGTCTCTATTGACTCGACTTCTTACTGTCAATCATCTTAGTGATGACACTTTCAAATGCTTCCTATGAGCAAAGCTTCCTTCACTAACTTATAGCACAATAAATGTCAAAAAGTCCACAAAAAGAGAAAGGAACATTTATTGGGAAAGCAGTAATACGTAGTGCACCAGTCATTTTCCACACTAACAATAAACACTAGTAGAGAAAATCGGGAAAACCACATTTGTTCCCACACCCTACTATTTTTAAAAAATTAAGCAGGGAAAAGAACTCAACAATACATATGTTACAAATGACTAAGCCTTACAGCCCACAAAACAAGAAGCTGCTAGTGTCTAAATCGCACAAGCTCATCATATATGCACACACCACGCACAACTATGTTACAGAAACAAAATTAACAGATATTAACCTGCAGCTGTGGTACACAAAATACAACGCATCCGCAGAGCACCTGAAGTGCCATCCTCTTCCTCTTCCTCATCCTCATAGTCATCGTTAACACCATTAGCATATTCATCATATGAGGCAGTCCTCTGGGCAGCGACTCTTGCCTCTTTATTGCCACCAATGGAAATGGAGGACTCCATAAGACATGTTGTATGATAGGCATGACAACAAAAGAATGCAATGATTGATACATTCAGTATAGAAAATGGATCAAAGCATATGCAACATCTTCCACCTCCCCTGGTTTTAGATTTGACCTCCACAGATTTCATGCTCATTGTTCTCTCTCCCAGATGTGAAACACTCTTCTCACCTCGTCGGGAAGATGCATCATCTACTTCATCACTCAAGCAAACACCACGCTTGGCTTCTTTGTAATATTTAACCAACAAATTCATGCAATCAGCCTGGAAGTAAACCCCAAATTGTCAAAAGACTCCCCCTGTACAACTTCAAAGATAATGAAAATCTTCCATAAGCTACCACCGAATGTATGTAAATAAGATAATGTACCTTAAGTATATCATTGCACCCATGTCTAAGAGAGGTCTCTGTCCTGTAGTCTGTCACAATCTTGACCAGACGATCCCTCAGACTGCAAATGCGAGCAATGTTGCAATTACATTCAGGTATTTAGTTATAAATGCAATCCAGTTCAACAAATAGCATTCGGAATTACAGAATATCCTAGCCCTGTGCAACTCATTTTGTCATACAACTACAAAGATATATTGCATGCAATTTTATAGTAAGCAACTGCCAATTTGCAGATTAGAACAGAAGAGCATGATTTCCCGACTAACTTACCGAGGTATCTCCAGATCATTGGGCAACATATTGACAATGTAAAGGGGATCAAGATTCCCTACAGTGTGCTCTAACAATACACCAACCTGAAAAAAATAAGGTGAAGCATAGAAAAGAAAACCTAATCCAAAACATAAAAGAGAAGAGTCTGTTTTTATCTCGCTTTGGAAAGCTAACGGGAGAAAAGGGAAGTGATGAACTTTACCATTTCAGGCTTATGAAAACTTTGCTTTATCAGTTCTTCCCAGAGTTCATCATCTTGTTGAATGCTTACAAATTCTATGGCCTGCATGTATTTAGTTATGGGGCTTGTCTCATCACCAAATTTGAAAGCAAGATGAAAATCATAAAATTAGGTTCACGTACCTCTTCTATATCTCCTAACCTATTAATGATAACAGCAAGCGCTTGCTTCGCGTTCCCCATTCTTCCAAGGATGAAAACTTGCTCTTTCAGTAGATCTTTCTTCACACAGATTTCATAAGCCTGACAATTTTTTTCTGTATCAAGGTGTGAATGTGTGTATAAATAAAATAAGAAAGATCAACCAAGCACAGGTTGAGATTGTCAGCCATTCATTTTCACAAACCTTCTCCAATGTATAGTGCTGGCTGCTTCTAAGAAAGGTAAGCAGCATCTTAGGATCATAGTCAGCATACAGCTCAACCTATGGGAGTCATACAAAAACTATCAAATAATAGACAATATAGGAAAGACCATAAAGGGATTTCAACTTTAAAAAACGGTTGGAGCTTCCACACCAAGATTAGATGCATATAAATTAGAGAATACGTGAATTAAAAACAAGGAAAGACATAGTAAAGAACTCGTGTTGTCTTTCCCAGCATCATATTTTCTTGGAATTTACAGTTAAATGTTCTCTCTCTTACAAGCTCATATAGGACAGCTAATTTGTTTTTAGCCTCATTGGTTACAGTCTTACAAATACTTTAGTCAACCAAAAGATCAGAAAATCAAACTGTTGGAACCTTAACGTAAAATGTGGTTGGATCTTATCTTTTGTGGTATGGGATGAGGATGCAAAACCAGACATAAAATATAGAAAACTGGTAGATAATTGTTTTCATTATTAAACTATTAATGTGAGTAGGTAAACATAACATAGCTTCTGTTTGAGCTACTTAAGGCTTGTACAAATATTGGTAAAGAAGCCACCTGGAAGAATGATATCAAAACTAGCAGTTACATTTTTATTGATTGAATCAATCCAGATAGATAAATTACCATATCTGGGATGATTAAACAATTTAAAATTTGCCAATGGTGAGGTTCCTGGATAATGTTTTGTAAAGTTATTCTAAACTATAGTATTAAAATTTAAGAGAACAAATATGTCAAGTAGTATTTATCGAATATGCCCACCTAAAATTTATTACAAAGACACCATCGGTAATATTAAAGCAGAAAACAGTACCAACTAGAACAAGAAAAGATATATTCTCGCTTGTGGAAGAAGACATCTCATCAAATTAGACAATTTTACCTCAAGACCTATTCAGGTTTCGAGTCAACACTTCTAAAAACAATTTATACAAACCTGCATGTCATGGTAATCCTTTCCAGCATGGAGATTCACTTCAAATAGTGAATGAAGATAGAGATGCAAAAAGTATCGGTAATCACACTTATCCCTGGCAGCAATAAGCTGTGCTACCACTTCAGATGGCGGTATTAAGTCACGCTGCTGGATTAATAACAGTACCGCACGCTTGCAGTCGATCATCATTAGTTGGAGTACCTATCAATCCATGTCAAGGGAATTAAGACTGATAAGTTGAGGAATTAGAGCTGAATTTACCAAATGAAACCATATATACCAAAAAAAAGGGGGCTTATTTTTTCTACAAAATAGTGAAATGGTAACTGTCCTACTTCTGAAGAAGATTGTTAATAACAACGGAAAAAGAATTAGACTTTGCACTCCAAATAAATTCGAGTTGAG